GCTTGTGAACTTCCAGGGCCGTGCACAAGGAAATATCGGGGCCAGTGGATGCATGGGGCCTGCTTCAATGGCGTCCGAGCTTACGCTCGGCAGGTGCTTAACCAGATGAGGTCCCTGGCGGTCATGGAGCACGAGATGGACAACACTCCTCAGATCTGGCGCCAGAAGGCCAGGCCGTTCTTCACCACCCAGGGCAACGGCCCTGACCGCGCGGCTGCGCGCGCGTCCCTTGCGCTGCCGAGTGGTCCCAGGGCCTCGCCAGGATTGCTCAACGTCGACATCAGCACGCGTGGCCACGTCACTGAGTATATCGACACAGTGCTGTTGCTCAACGAGACGCGCTACATCAGTTACCACATGTTCTGGGACAGGATTTCCGAAGAAGATGCCCGATCTGACTTCCTACTGCTCCACGCTGAACAGGGATCTGAACAGGACGGCGCCGACGGAGAAGCCAGGGTCGAAGTGATCGACAACTACAAGCAGAAGAGTATCAGACTCACCAGCAGCATGTCATCTGCAAAGGAGACCTCGCCCATCGACGAGCCTGAGTACAAGCGTCTGCGGCTCGCCTATCAGATCATGCTCCCGCAGAAGGGATGCAACGACAGTGCTCATGAATGTGAGTGCGACTCTGGGTTCGGTCCAATGGGTTCAGGCGCTGGTACGGCGAGCTTTGCATCACCTGCGAAGGGCGTGGCGCAGCTGCAGGACTTTTCAACTCCCTACACTCCCCCCAACCCATTTCAACGTGCTTTCTCTGGTCCAGGCGTTCCGATTCGCGTCGTCGTCGTCTTCTCCTGGGGGAATTTCTGCCCACCCCGTGGGGGCAGAAATTCCCTCACCTTCGTCGTCGTCGCCGTCGCTGCCGTCGTCGTCGTCGTCGTCGGCATCGTCGGCATCGTCGTCGTCGTCGTCGTCGCCGTCGTCGTCGTCGTCGTCGTCGTCGTCGTCGTCGTCGTCTTCCCCTTCGGAGGGAGTTTCGGCCCAGAGGCCTCTGGGGGGCCTCCAGAGGGTTCCAGGTGGGCCCCGAGAGAAGCTCGGGGGGGCTTCAAGAGGTTTCGGAACCAGATAGATCAGTAATCTATCTGGTTATGGCTCTCTCGGAGCCCTCTTCAGCCTTGCTTAATGCCCCTCTTGGCGCAGGCTGGAGGGGCGGACGGGGATAGTGAGGAACGTTTTTTAGGTTTCACGCCTGCTCCGAGGACTACCCGCGTCGGTCCCCGACGGCAGAGCCTGCTCGTGGCAGGAGCGGTGCAGCGGCTTCCGCATTGGGCAGCGCATCGGGCAAGGAGGCTGGCAACCCCAGGAGGGCCTTGTCGGGTGACCAGGAGGACGAGCCGAACGCGGTCAAGCAGAAGGGGGCCCTGAAAAAGCAGCTCGCGACTTTCACGGACAGTATCTTTGGCAAAGACGGGTACGCTACTAAAATGGTCAGGAACCACGGCCTGCGCGACGAGTCCCTCGTGGATGGGGACGAAGACATCAAGATGAATCAGTTCAATGAGGAGATGGCCAATTTCAGAAAGAGGTTGGCCGCGATTCAGCAGGATATCGAGAAGTCCAAGCCCAGCCAGTTCAAGGATTGCGAAACGGCATTGTCCAATCTCGAAGTGGAGCTGAAGCAAACCAAGGTCAAGTACCAGAGCATGGAGAGCAGCCTGCAGTTCTTCGTGCAGGAGAAAGCGCAGAGCGGTAGGAGCACCAAGCTGAAGATTCGCCACTACAAGGAGAGGGTGGTGAAGGACATGAAGGACTTAGGATTCGGCCCAGTGCACGCGAAGGCAGAGTGTGAAATGGCCTACGCGCTCCAGGAGACCTACGATAGGCAGCTCTCGGTTGTCCGAGACGCGCATAAGGCGAAGATTGCGGCCAAACAATTGGAACAGCAGGTTGCAGGCATGGGATCTGGCGACGATGGCGCCAACGGCACCTCTGCAACCGAGGAGCTCATGGTCAAGATGCCGTTTCCGAAGATGGACCAGAAAAATCCCGGCCCTCTGGCAGTCGAACGCTTGGAGCTGAAGACCTTGCAGTTCGAGCCCAGCACGGTGTATGTCTTCGACGTTGTGGGCCACGTGGCGTTGGAGGAGGCTAGGGGCGATCACACTTCAAATATAGCCCTCTTGGGATATGTATCCAATCTCCCCATCCGCCACTCTTCTTCTCGCCACGCTTCGCGATGCCCCAGCGCCCAGTAGCTCATGCCTGCCCCCTGCTAGTAGGGCAGACGGGGAAGGTGATAATGGAGAGGGAGAGGTGGGAGGGGAGGGGGGAGAAGCGATGATGGAAAGGTTGGTGATGAGGGAGAGGAGGGTTATCTCGATCGACACACCTTCCCCCGAAGCTGATTTGTTCTGGCCTCGCCCCCGACCTGCCTCCCCCGACCTCGGAGCTGGCCCTGGAGTCTCCACGAAGGACTCTTCACCTTTCTCTCTATCCTCGTCTGACTCTCCCCCCCTCCGCGTTTCACCCGTATCCCAGGTGAAGAAGTACCAGCAGGCGCGCTCCACCACGGTCGAGAGCAAGATGCAGCGCGCCGAGGAGACTCTGACAGAGAACCATCAATGGGTCGGCCTCTCTGGTCGGATCGGGTCGCCTCCAGCTGAGTTCAAGTCGGAGCTGGTCGACGAGGGCTGCATCAAGAATCCCGCTCGTTGCCCATGGCTCCTTTCGATCAAGCAGTACGCGTGGGGAATGGGCCCCACTGGGGTTCCACTGCCTGGGCTGCCGTGCTTCCTGCAGGCCATCAATGCCAGCGCTCTGGTCACGCTCGCCCCATTCGCAGCCCTGCTCGAGCAAGGGATGGTGCTGGACGGCATCAAAGCTTTCTTTGAAACGCCGTCAGGTCAGTCTTGGGTGAAGGCGAAGTGTGTGACACTGCTCCTCGTCAAGGGCGCTGTCGTGCGCATCCCAGCAGGCGTCTTCCCCTTGGTTATCTACTGCCCTGTGAATTGCCAGCACGCGACTGGGGGCGGCGGCGACGAAACCAAGAAGGCGGACGAGAATGACATCCTGCACATTTGGCACTTGTCAACGTTCGACTTGGACGACTTCAAGAAGTTGAACAATCAGACGGCCCAGGCGATCCGCAACTACAACACCGAGCTGCTCGAGAGGTACAGCTCGTCGAGGTCCTGGAACGACCGCCTCGTGGAGATGCGCGAGTTCTTCGAGAACGCGGTCGTCAGCAGCTAGGGTGCCGAGACAAGACATTGGAGCCAGGTTTGCTGGTTACAGACAGCGGCACTGCATGCTGCACACGGCGTGGTCAGAGACGCCACGCATGGGGAACGTGTATCTGCCAGCGTGGACCCCGAACAGTGTTTCAAACAATGTTAACAAAGTGGACCCTGAACAGTTTTTGCCAGCGTGGACCTTGAACGAACTATCCAGCGTGGACCCCGAACAGCGTTCGCCAATGTGGGCCGAACGTATGTAGTCTGATTTCTGCCGTGCAATCTAGACAGAGCAGCCTTGCGGTGCAAACTATTTGGTGAAATCTATGGCATGCAATCTACGTTATGCAACCTATGTGGTGCAACCTTGGTGGCGCAACCTATGCGGTGCAACAAATGTAGCGTAAGCCAAGTCTCATGAGGTATATTACACGCGTCCTGCACAACATAGCCACGGAGCAGGGAGGGAGTAACACAGAGGATAGTCATACAGAGATGTGCACACACCTATATATATATATGAAACGCCAGTCACATACAAATGCACAAATGATATGTTTAGAACACCACCCAGCATGAAGCCAGTGCATTATCTGTGCCAATCGACATCCCGATGTCTCCAAGGAAGTGCGCTATACACCCATGTGCCGTTCACGTATGACGCAATATGACAAAGCTAGACGAGAGGTTACGTCTGTTCCATAAGCTTACACCTGGATTATTACAATATGTCACCCATATGGCCCTGTTGAGTCTCTCGAGGTTTTCCGAGCGGGCTCCGAGACAGCCCAAGAGCGTTCCAAGACGCCCCGCGACTGGCGTCAAGACGGCCCAAGAGAAGTCCAGTACGCCCCAAGGGCGCCAGGTGGATCCTCCTGAGGTCCCTCAAGAGGCAGACGTCACTGTTTTTCTTTTCGCTGCTGGAAGTTCTAAGCGTTCTGACTTTATTCGAGTTTTCTTCTCTCCACGTTCTCTCCCCTCCCCTCCCAGGCCATCCCTCTAGCATCGCCGCTTAACCAATCACATATTTATCTCCCCATTTCCTCACCCCCCTCCTCTGTCCCCGTGGCCCTTTTGGCTCAAGTAGTCATCCGTGGGCACGCTTCTAGCACTTGCGGGCAATATTGGCTTTGGTAACCCGAGTGCGCGTGCAGTTGCGCATCCCGCAACATTTTGTGGGCGTGCGCCGTCGGCATCTTTCAGCGCTGTGCGTAAGTGTGGCCTCGCCGCGGGGCGTGGCAGGCCGCTGCGTGTCCGAAGCCTTAGGCGACAAAGGCATGCAGATGTGCTCAATGCACTCGACCTCGGTCACAGATAGGAAACGTCTAGGATTTTTTTAACCGTTTTTTTGTTGAAGAGCGCGCAAGGCCCCCTCACTAGGCCCCAGGGTGGGCAAACCAACCCTGACTAGAGGCCAGGGTCGGTAAACCAAGGAACACTAGATTTCCACTAGATCACCACTAGACCACCACTAGAACCACTAGGACAGGGGTCGCGCTTTCAGGAATCCTACAGAACCCATGTCTTACCATCCTGCGTCGCCACTGATTAGAACGACGCCCCAGGACGTCGATCAGGCGCTCGGAGCACCCCCCCCCCACCCACCTAGCAGGATACGGGAAACGTGGTGGCACACTCGTCACCGATAGAACATCGTGAGAGAAAGCGGAGAACGGGAAGGAGGGAACGGAGGAGGGAGGGGACGAAAAGGGAGGAGGGGGAGGAGGGGAGGAAAGAAGAAGACGAAGAGGGAGAGCACGCGCGGAGTAGGCAACAAATACATACCTCTGTCCAGAACCACAGCGACACAATGTACGGGCGCTAATCCCGGCACAATCCCTCAGATATCCACTTCTCCAGCGCAAACAATGGGTAGCCAGCGCCCTCATGCAGGTGACGCTTGAAGGACGCAAGGACGCCCTCCACGGAGTCCAGCGGGCGTGTGTAAGCACGTACCCTGGAGACCGCCCCGAGCACGAGCCCACGCTTGATGGAGTTGGGGACGTAGCTATAGAAGGGCATGCAACCCGTGCCTGCCCCCAACGCCTTCGTGGACGGGCGGGTGCAGATCGTGCCGTCGAGCTGGGGCAACAGGTCAACCCCCACAAACGTGAAGCTAGTGTCGGCTTCCAGGGGAAGCGGGTAACGCAGCCAGGCCGAGCCCTCCAGGACAACGGAGATGTACTCGATCTCCCCGGAAGACAGAGACGGCGGCCCCTTCCACAGCATGATGTAATCGTCCATGTAACGCATCTCTAAAATCATGACGGTGGCGCCACTGAACGACCGGGGGTATACGCGACCTCGGGCGCCGAGTGGAGGGAGTGCTGGGCCATGCAGTGCGTAGTAATACTGCATGTCCAAAAACATGATCAGCGCACTGCCCAAAGGTGAACCCATCGCTAGTCCTTCGACTTCTTTGCCGACGAGAGTACCCAGCAAGAAAAAATCCGTTTCGAGGTGATGGGAAATCAAGTTTCCAATGTCATCCAACGACAACGTGATATGCTGGTCATGGAGGCGGGATGGAAGGCAGTCCTGCTCTGATACCGCTTTCCTTCCCAGACGTCCTGCACGGACGGCCTGTACCGAGGAGCAGGCCGCTGAACGATAAAACTCCCAAGCTTTGCGAACCAACGCATGGGGGATGTTGGTGAAACAGCTCTTGACGTCCGCCCCCGACCCCCTGACTGGCGTGAAGGGCGCGCACGAGGAGAACTCCTCGATTAATTCGATGGCCGCGTCCGTGCGGTTGATGTCGATGTTGGCGTGGGCGGGCAGGAATGCCGAGCTGAGCCAGTCCAATGCGCGGGCCGCTGGCGTGTCAAGGCAGGCAGTCGGCCAGCGCGACCGATTGACTATAGGCCTCCTGTCGTCTGGTTTTTCCACCTTTTTGTTGGGGGCACTGGCCTCAGCCATCCTCCACTGCGAAGCCCTGCTGATATTTGCTGGCTGGATGCACGCAGAGAGGCCTGGGACGACGGCCACCCGCCCCAGAACTGCCTGGACAGTCAGGTCTGGGTAGTATTGAAAATGATGATCTTGACCATCAGCCCCGAAAACCGCCCGAGCTAGAAGTTGAACCCGTCGGGGGCACTCCGCAACCAGAACCCGGCGCGTCTTCTGGAACTCCTCTAATTACCACCAGGCCGTCCAAGAACTTGCGCATGCCTAAAATGTCCTCGCGGCGCACCGCGTCGAAGCCGAGCGCGTTGGATTCGGCCGAGGTGAGCAGGAAATCTGCCATGCGCGAGGTCATGAGGCTTGCAGGGCCCTCTTCAAGACCCACGCCCGCTGCCTTCATGACCGCCTTCACGGAAGCGGCGCAATGCCTTTCCACCGCTGCCCGGTGAGGGACGATTGCAGTATGGCACGGCGTCCCCCGGAGCCTCGAGAGACCTGCGGGCCATGGCCAGGAGGCCTGGGGGGCGAAAACATGATGACAGCCATCTGGAGACAGGGCGCGGGGAAGACCGGAAACGATGTGCACACACAGGGCCATGGTTCCGACTCGTGGAGCTTCCGGTAGAACTTGGGTGCGTTCCTGAGGACGCCCCTGATCGTGAGAGCCGAAACCTGACAGCCTCGGAATCCTCGTGAGGTCGCCCCCCCTGGACGGGATTAGCGGTATTGGTATCTCTTGGTTCCCACAAGATGGAGAGAGACACTTCGGGCAGGCCTAGGATGTGAATTCGGATGTCGTCTTCCTCGCGTTTTGGTCTTCGGGGCTCCCTCACGTCGCCGCGGCTGGACGCAGGGTCTTTGGAGGCTTCGGAGAGTCACCGGGGACCTCCTCTTCTTCCCTTTTCTCATCGGACGAAGGACAGGATGAACATAGATTGCTCCAGAGCGTTCTGGCTTGTTCTCAGAGTTTTCAGGGGTGCTCTGAAACGGCTGCGTCGCCCGCTGCATCTTCCAGTTCCGCTGGTCTTTTGCGCCGTCTGGAGGCCTCGGGGCTGTCTTGGGGCCCTCTTGGGCCCCTCTTGGGCCGCATTCGCGTTCTGACCTCGGGAAAAGTCGTGGGAAATCCCAGACCGCCCCGCAGCGCCCCATAGTGCCATCATTGCTAGGAAATGCTGGGGTCGGGGCACTTACAGTCCCCCCTAGACGAGCAATAATACTGTCTGGGTCTTACGGTACCGCACTTCGTGCGGAAGGTGCGGCGGAAGGTGCATATCTATCTGTATACAGTAGAAAGAGGGAGAGAGAAAGAGAGAGAGAGAGAGAAAGAGAGAGAGAGAGAGAGATCGCAACAGTTCGAACCCAGATGTCCAGGCCAGGCGGGTATTAGCGCCGCTTGGGTCGCCCTCGCACTGGCGGGAGGCGTTGCTTGACAAGCAGGGGTGGAGAACATCCTCGCCCCTGGCGCGGCCGAAGGGACCCCGACTGGAAATATCTGGAAGGGCGTGGCGATGGGGGCGTGACACGCCCCCTCTGCGCGCCACTGGCTGCAGCGAGGCCCTGGCTCCTGGCTTTAAGCGCGCTTTGGCGCGCGCCTCGGCGCTGTCTTCACGGCAGAGGAGGGAGGAAGGAGGAAGGAGGAAGGAGGAAGGAGGAAGGAGGAAGGAGGAGGAGGAGGAGGAGGAGGAGGAGGAGGAGGGAGAGGGAGAGTGAGGAGGAGGAGGAGGAGCTTTTACTGGGGTGTAGCCCACAGGTGCAGTGCCGCAGCTGGGGGCTTCGCGGAGCGAAAACAATACCCGCGGGCACCGCCGCGACGCAGCGTGCTCCAAGCAGGCGGTGCCTCTCGGTCAAAATGGCCACTCGGCATGCAGGACGACCACCTCACCACTCGGGGAGGACCTCCAGCCCCTCGAATTTTACGTCCAGGGCGAAGCTTCCAAACGGAGTCGGGGCCTTCGGCCTCGAACCGAGAGGCAACTTCGCCCCAGTTCGTGGGTGGTTTCCGCTCCAGAGGTGGTCCAAGCGGGCACGTGTCGACGAGCCGCGCTCGCAGTGCCCCCTGCAATCCACCGCCAGGAGCTGGGTATTATCGCACGAGTGTGCTCCACACGAGCTGCAGAAGGTGAACGGGCCAACGCACCAAAGCCGGTGGCCTGCGGCAGGCCGGCACGGGGCCTGCCTGAGCGACTTGGCCACATTGGCCACGCGCAGGCACTTTACGCATCGCAGCTTACCCGCAAACTGGACTATGTCGTGCTCTCCCGAGGGGGCCTCCTCATCAGCCGTGAGCCTCGGGGGCGGCCGACGTCGTCCACGGGTCTCGACATCCCGAGCCGACACTGTACTGGCAGGAGGGCCGACAGCTCGCAGGGTTCTACATATGTACTTGCACACATACGTTGACAGGCTGGCCGACTTCAACACGCAATCGTTCGCCTGCATGTCCTGGGGATGCCTGGACGCTCCGAGCCTAGCGAACTGATCAGCAAACTTTCTACCGAGAGGAGGAGGAGGAGGAGGAGGAGGAGGAGGAGGAGGAGGAGGAGGAGGAGGAGGAGGAGGAGGAGGAGGAGGAGGATATAAAGATGCAAACGGCCCCGCCCCAGCAAGGGCCGCCCCGCGTGAACCGAAGGGCGACATGATCCGAGAGCCAGCGGCCTTGCAAGCACGGGCGCCCCTGGCTCGGCCCGGCCCCACGCTGACGGCGCTGGGAGGCACCGCCGCCTTGGGGCCAGGCAAGATCAGGGGAGGTTCATGAGGGCCCTGCCGCCCCTCGGCGCAGGGAGGGGGTCTACGCACACTCCCTGAGGGGGGCCGAGTGCGGAAAAGGTGGGCAGGCCTCAGTTCGAAAAGGGGAGGCGGGCCCCTAATCGCAGCCTGCACACGAGGCGCATCCAGGGGCCCTCGCGCGACGATGCATGCCATATGCCGTGTAGACTGGCAGAGAGACAGACAGACAAGCAGATAGACAGACAAAACATATAGACAGTGACAGACGTACATAGAGAAAAGAGGAGAGAGAGAGAGAGAGAGAGAGCGAGAGAGCAACTGATGGGCAGAGAGAGAGAGAGAGAGCGAGAGCGGGAACGAGAGCGAGAGAGGTAAAGAGATGGAAAGAGAAGGGGCGGAGCAGTTCCGATGTCCCGCGCCACCCAGAGCAGGCCACGAGCTGCGGGAGGTGCAGCTTCCGAGCAGGCCGAGGGCCTTCTCCCCGTTTCCCCCCTTTCCTCTTCCCCCCTGCATTTCCGCTCCTTGTGCCTCCACCCGTTTCGTCCTCCCGTCGTCCCGCCTTCCTCCCCTCCTTCGCCACCCATTCCCCCCTTCCGCCCCCCCCATTCCTCCTGGATGCCCTCCCCCTCCTTCCCAAGCGCTTTCTCCCACTTCTTCACATCTCCCTCCTCCTCTTCCAGGTTCTCATAAACAACTGATCGCGTCTGTGATTGAGCAGGTGCCTTATGAGGAGGAGGAGGAGGAGGAGGAGGAGGAGGAGGAGGAGAGGGAGGAGGAGGAGGAGGAGGAGGAGGAGGAGGAGGAGGAGGAGGAGGAGGGGGTCTTCTAACCGAATTGGGCATTGTCTCCTGGGGTGAATCCTTGGGCTCGACAATTCCACGATGATGTAGTTCAACTCGCGCGATGTGTTGAAAATGCGGCCTCGTGTTGAGCCAGAGCGGGGGTCCTTGCGACAGCTGCTCACCTGCGAGATTGGGCAGGATTTCGCTCGCGTGGAGTTGGCGTGTTTCGTAGTCGACACTTTGACGTTCAGGTCGCCCCCCGTGGCCACTTCCTGCAGGACCCCGAGGCGCTGGAGAGAGGCCCCCCGGAACACGATGTTCAGTCGTATATGTGTCTGTGGGAGCTGGAGGAGGGACCCCTGCGGGGCCGCGCTTGCTACGCGCACATGCTTGGTCAAGCATCTTCGGCAAGTCCACGGGGCCCTCAACTGATATCGGATCTTCACGACTATTAGCCAGTGTATGTTTTGTGGGGAGGCCCTGTGGGACCGCAACGCTTCAAGAACACATCCATGAGGCCGTCTTGCCGTCCTCAACGGTCGCAACGCATCAAGGTCAAGGTCCTCCTCTTCTTCCTCCTACTCCTGCTCCTGCTCCTACTCCTCTCCTTCCCTTCTTGTGCCGCAGTTCCTCCTCCTCCTCGTCCTCCTGCCCCTTCGTCGCCTCCCCCGTCTCCCATCGGGTTTCTTGAATTCACATTGAAACCAGGGGGTTCGCAGTGTGCGCCGCCGCTGGGCGCATGCGGGTGTGCCGAGCTCGCTTCGCTGCGCGATGGTCCGCACAACCCCCGTATCCCATCCTCTCCCTCTTGCCCCAACCTTTCTGTCCTCCCCCATCCCTTCCCCCCTTCCTCTCCCGCCTGCCCCTTCCTCGCTCCCGCGTCCCGTCCTCCCCCATCCCTTCCTCCCTTCCTCCCTCCTCCTCACTCCCTCCTGTTCCTCGTCCTCCTCCATCTCCTCCTCCTCCTCCTCCTCCTCCTCCCCAGCCCCCTCCTAACCCTTCCTCCTCCCTCCTGGCCCTCTCCTGGTGCAGGCTGCGGGAGGGCGAGCTCCTCGTGCGGCTCGAGTGCGCCACGATCTGCGGCAGTGACCTCCACACAATCGCAGGGAAGCGGCAGGACCGCTCCGCCTTCGCGCTGCCGTTCCTCATCCTTGCTGGTCCTCCTCCTCCTCCTCCTCCTCCTTCTCCTCCTCCTCCGTCCCCTCCCCTCCTCTCCTCCTCCTCCTCCTCCTCCTCCTCCTTCTCCTCCTCCTCTCCTCCTCCTCCTCCTCCTCCTCTCCTCCTCCCCCTCCTCCTCCTCCTCCCCCTCCTCATCATCATCATCATCATCATCGTCATCATCATCATCATCATCATCATCATCATCATCATCATCATCATCATCATCATCATCATCATCATCATCCTCTTTTTCCCATCCACGGCCTCCTTACCTCCTTCTATCCTTCTCCTCCCTCGTCTTCTTCTGCTTGACCGTCTCTTCCCCTACTTCTCTTCCCCCTCCTTTCCCTCTTGCTCCTGCTCCTCTGTCTCTTCCTTCACATCGTCAGGCTTGTATTATGGCGGCTCCTCGTTCGTCTCCTCCCCCTCCTGCAACGAGATCGCTGCCGTCCGCAGAACCGAAGGAGTAGTCTGACCAGTTAGCCGGCCAATGCTGCCTGCGAGCGGGAATTCATTAAACCAGAATGTGCCTCTCGTATTCCTCCTCCTCCTCCTCCTCCTCCTTGTCCTCCTCCTCCTCCTCCTCCTACCTCTCCTCCTCCTCCTCCTCCTCCTCCTCCTCCTCCTCGTCCTCCTACTATTCCTACTACTCCTCCTCCTCATTCTCCTCCTGCTCCTCCCTCCTCCTCCTCTCTCCACCTCCTCCGACCTGCAAGCTACCTCTTCATCCCTCCTCTCTCCACCTCCTCGTCCTCCGACCGAATCAAATCCTACCTGTCCTAATTGCCCCCCCCACCAGGAGCCGGTCCCGCTGGTCCTGGGGCACGAGGGCGTGGGCTACATCGAGCGCATGGGCAGCGACATCTTCAGCGGGAGCCCGCCGCGGAAGCAGGGCTGGAAGCTGCGGGAGGGCGACCGCGTCACGTTCTCCGTGGCGGACTCCTGCGGCTCTGCGGCCAAGGGGGAGCCTGGGTCACCTGATGGGCCTGTTTTTCACCACCGCCACCATAAGTTGAAGGGGGTCCTCTTCCTCTATTCCTTTTCCATTTGGACAATTCCTCCCTGTCGCACCCCGAGGCAAGTTTTTAGGGCGGACCGGGCGTTTCGCTTGAGACTTCCTCACTTATGACCCTGAAGCTTTAACCGTGACAACAGTTTCACAGATGCAGGGCGGGTGGTTTTCAAAATGTGGCTCTCGCTTTCGCGCCGCGCACACTCGTTTTCAAAATTTGCAAGAGTTCCACGGATTGAGGGCGGGCCGTTTTCAAAATGTGGTTCTCGCTGTAGCGCCGCGCACATAAGTTTTTTTAGATTGGCAAGGGCTTCACGGATTGAGGGGGGGTCCTTTTCAAAATGTGGTTCTCGTCTCAGCTTTGCGCACACTCGTTTGAAACACTTGGAAGGGTTTCACTGGTTCCCAAGATCAACGTACTAAATGTTGTTTTGGAAGGATTCAGGATTTTGCGGGTTTAACGATTATGTTGATTCGCTGTGTTGAAATCAAAGAAATGGCGTTATGGCACGATTCCGGATCGCCAGAACGCAGCAGTCAGGTTGATACGTGGCGTTGAAATCCCGAAGCAATGTTTTGGGATGTTTCAGGATCTTCAAACGGTTGTCTTCCAACGAGGCAGTTCCCTCAATGGAAATGAAGCGTTGTAGTGGCCTATGACGAGGGAGCTTGGAGGGAGGGTTAAGTCCAACATCGTTGATGATTATTGGGTTTACACTGGTCCTCCTCCTCCTCGTCCTCCACCTTCCCCCCTCCAACTTATGGTGGCGGTGGTGGAAAAGAGGCCCATCATCACCCGCGGGGGCGTGGGAACATTTGCTTCGCACGTCGCGGCCCCTGGCCAGAACTGTTGCCCTTCTCCTGCGGGGGCGGCGCGAGGGCGCGAAGGTGATCGCGCATCGCAGGGCGTGACGAGCGAAGTCGAGTGACCTAGGGAACACCGCACGCGCGCGTCGGACATTGGCAACCGTACTCCGCGAGCCCTGGTCTCCGTTTTTCGGGCCCCAGATCGGTGCGGATAAAGTCGTGGCCGAGGCCAGGAGTGTTTGCACACCAGCCCAGGGCCTAGCATGGGTCTGGCCGAGGCTGGCGGTGGTGTGCGGGTGCCTGAGTCTTGAAAGTGCGCGCACGTCCACCGCCACCAAGCCTCCACGAGCCACAGATCTTGGTGAAGCATCAGCTCCTGGCCAAGCCCGAGGGACAAGCTCACTGGGCATCTGGGCCCAAGCCGGTCTTGCGGAGGTCTGCTCTTTTTGTTCCTTGCGTAGTCCTCAGGCGTCTGTCCCGAGTGCACGCTGCACAAGCTGCCGCAGAAGTGCGTTGGCCTCATGAAGTACGGCCACTCGCGGAGTCGGAAGCCAGATCGCTCGCGAGATTTGGCGATTCCCGCGTTAGAGTGACCGAGCAATGTTCATGCTGAGATCGCATGAAGCGCCTCCTTAATTCCCAACCTTTCTGCATTGGACTCTCGTTTTGAGGAGAGCATTGCTGCTTTCTCCGTTGCCGCCTCCTGCTTCCCTCTCTCTTTATCCTGAGAACTGCGAAATTGTCGCCACTGTCGTCAGCTTCTAGGAGAAGTGACGTCATACACGAATCAGAATAGACCTCGCTGTCCTTTGGAGGTTGCTAACTGCAGAACTGCCTCCACTTTCACCAGCTCCTGGGAGGGCCAGCGAAGTGACGTCATGCACGGGTTGGGTTGAACATCGCCGTCCTTGAGAGGTTGCTGATTGCACAAGTCGCCACTTTCGTCAGGTCATGGGAGGGCCAGCGAAGTGACGTCATACCCGGATCGGATATGACGTCGCTGTCCGTTGGAGCTCGCGAACTACGCAATTGTCGCCATTTTCGTCAGTTCCTGGGAGGGCCAGCGAAGTCACACACGGATCAGAGGAGACCTCGCCGTCGTTGGATGGTGCGAACTGATTTCTGCCATGTTCGTCGGCTCATGGGAGACCAGCGAAGTCATACGCGGATCAGATGAGACCTCGCCGTCGTGAGGGGAGCTGTGCACATCGCAATGGTTGCCATTTTCGTCAGCTCCTGGAAGGGCCAGCGATGACGTCACACGCGGATCAGAAAAGGTATTGCCGTCGTTGGGGGGCTGCGCGATTGTACCCGATTTTGTCAGCTCCTGGGAGGCCCCCCTGGGGGGAGTCCAGACTGCTCAATTGTCGCCGTTTTCGCCAGTGCTTGGGAGGGCCAGCGAAGTGATATCATATGCGGATCAGATGAGACGTCGCCGTCAATCGGGGGGGACGACTGCGAATTGCGAAGTTGACGCTACTTCCTTGTACTGCAGAAGTTGCCCCCTTCTCCTTCTCCTTTTAACGGTGTTCAGTGAGTCGTGCAACCTGCGAGCCTCCCAGAACTTTCGCAGCACGGGGTGGTCGTTGCCGTGCCACCATCAGCAGCCAGTTTGGCCAATTGCTCCGGTCACTTGTTGCAGATGGGTTTGAAACGTTGTTGGGGGGGGGGTGATATCTTGTTTGCTGCCCAGCGAAGTACAAGCGAGAATCGAACAGTCGAGGTTTTCCTTGGCAGCAGGCGACCCGAAACAGCTCTGTGGAGGAGAAAGGGGCGCAGACGGAGATTCCTACAGCAACGCAGAGGGACAAGGGCCGGGGGCGGCCAAGAGGGGGGTGATGACTAGGGGGGGGGGGGATCTCATGGCGGGGGCCATGATATCTCCCCAGATCTCATGGCGCCTCCTGTTATTTCATTACGTTCGTGGCACCCCCCCCTGGGCCGCGCACATGCCGCCGGTCATGATTCGCACCCCCCCGCCCTCTTGGACGCCCCCCTCTTGGCCGCCCCCGAAAGGGGAAACAACGGGAGACAGTGGGAAAACACGGAGGACACAGGGAGACACCGTGAGACATGGGAGACAGCGGGAGGCGACGCGAGACAGTGGGAGACAGCGGGAAACGATTGGAGTCAACGGGAGAGAACGGGAAGCAACGGGAGACAACGGGAGACAGCAGGAAACAACAGAAGACAACCGGGGATGATCGCCCGACCGATTCCAGATCACGGACGCCCCGAATTCGGCTTCTTGGAGAGCTTTTAGGACCCTTACAGACATGGTGTTCAGGGAAAGGGGTAGCGGGCTAAGTTTAGGTCGGGCTTGTCCCCCTGCAGGCGGATTTTAGACGAACAAGCAAATACTCAACAAATATTAAAAACTAGTCAACCATGTAAGAAAAATTTGCCCTTCTGATTTTTGACTACTTTTGAATTTTTTGAGAAGGATACGAATATGGAGACAACGGGAGACAGCAGAAGACCACGGGAGATAACGCGATGCAACATAGACTGGCAAGTGGAGACGACGGGAGACGGTGGCACCCTGCTCTGGGTTTCTTAATAAGCGTAGGGGGGTACCCCCCTCGACGGGGGTAAACCTCGCCTCGTCGTCGCGCCGCGACGGGGGTCGGAGCGCCTGCGGCGCGCGGTGGCTGCCCGCGACGGGGGTCCATGTGGGGCTGTCGGCGGGGGTGACGCCCCCCGACGTTTATTCAGGAATTCGGAGTACCGATTCCAGGTCCAGCGGTGGGTCCCCGTATCCTGCTTCTCAGATGCAAAACACCTAATATAGGACGTTGACAGACAAGCTTTTCTGAGGACAGGTGTCCAACCGACAGGAGCATTGAAAGCAGCATGCGTCACATTACATCCTTACGGTGTCAGCCGCCGCGGGGTTCTTTCTGGACTTCAGGGCATTGGTAAACCACCAGTACTTCAGTGCGGAGGACATCAAGATGGCCTGGCATGCCGAGCGGGGCGCCATAAACGGCGGCAGTTAGAACATTAAGATGCGCCGGGCCGAACTGCCATCGACTTGAGTTTGGATCTCGTCGAGCTATCTGGCTCCCGTCGCGTGGACGACGGCACTGGGCTCAACGGCACTTACGCGACGCACATCCAGGGAGGCACTTGTTGCACCCAGCCATCGGTCCTGATGAAGTTGTCAAGCAGTGGCGAAGCGCCTCGGCTTGCCTATAGGCCCACCCAGGAATGTTGTAAGAACCTTTTTTGGTCTGCACGAAATGTTCTTAGAACAGTTCTTTCTGAATCTGTCTTGGTTGAACACATCGGGCTTATGGTGTGCTTTTGCTCTTAGAACATTCCTGGGTTCTGAAGCAATTCCCTGGCAGACCTATAGGAATGCTTGGACGGTCGGCCCCTGTTCAAAATTGATATCAGCTTGCCTTCCACACATATGCAGGGGAGCAGCGTGAGAGCGGAGGAGGAAGATCAGGATGGGGAGGAGGAGGAGGGGTAGGGGGAGGAGGGAAAGGAGTAGGAGGAGGGGGCGACGATGAGACGTGGAGGGGGACGAAGAGGAGGAGGAAAGGATGGGCACGACGGCAGGGGCGGGAGAGGGAAATCGGGAGAAAGGGAGGCGGGAATATGTCGAAGGAATAATATGGTACGTGCGGCGAGGGAAAAGAGGTGAGGCAGAGGACGAATGACGGAAGAAGGGAAGGAAAGGGGATGAAGGCGGTAATGCGCAAGGTCGTGTGCGAGGAAGACAAAGAGGAGGAGGAGGAGGAGGAGGAGGAAGAGGAGGAGGAGGAGGAGGAAGAGGAGGAGGAGGAGGAAGAGGAGACGGCGAAGGGGCGATGAGGAAAATATTGCAAGATATGACGGTGCGGGCAAAGGGGGAGGGGGGAGGAGGAGCGGGAGGTTCATGAAGCCAGAGAAGAAGCATGATGGTTTGGAGAAGCAAAAGCAGGATTAGAAGGGGGAGCAGGCAGGAGGAGGCCCGGAGGGAGGGGGAGGGAGGAGGGAGGGAGGAAGGATGACAAGGAGGAAACGGAGGAGAAGGAGGAAAGGAAGAAGAGAGAGGAGGAAAAGGAGAAAGGAGGAAGAGGAGGAAAAGGAGAAAGGGAATGAGGGGGAGGAGGAGGGGGAGGAGGAGGGGGGGAGGGGGAGGAGGGGGAGGAGGGGGGGGTGCTTTAAAACCATGTTGAACACGTCAAAACGACGAACGCTAACGTTCAGAGGCCGACCGGCGGCTTCATTCACTCCGTACAGATTATTTTTTTTTCTTCGCACCTCCGCAGTCATGCCTGAGCGGTCGCACATCGCGCTTTCTCGATCGCCTCATCGGCGTCTTGCTGGTGGTAATATCGACGACAATGGCATGCGTGGCCTGGACTTGTTCGCCACCTTCCCGTGCCAGCGCCAGGGCGCCACACCTCTCGATGCTGGTCGGTGGTCAGCCAGCGGATAGTGCAGCAGTGGAAATCTGCGGTGTGCAATCTCAGCCTCAGCCCGCCCCCGCTCCCAATAATGGAATCAATATTCTGCGCCAGTATGTGGACAAGACGGAGGACCAGCTGCTCGCCGCGATCATCCGGATCAAAGGGTCTGTCACCCAGCCCGCGTCTGATGTGCAGACATTGTCGCGTTTTCGGCCACGAGGTGAGAGCGCGGATGTCGACGGTGGAGGCGACCCAGCGTGACCAAACCCAGCTCATCAGATCCTGCGACGCCACAATCGATGCCATGCAAAAGCAGCCCGTCACCATGCGGACCGAGCCCTTTATTTTGTCTGACGCGGACAGTTCATGTGTTCACCAGCCCGATTTGATCACCATCGCGCGCCCTTGACAGTCATTAGTCTCGCGCCAGAACCTGCCCCAAGGTCTTGATGCGTGGTTGGCCGCCGCGAACCTCGAACCCGGCGGGTTCGAGGCGGTCGGCGAGCCTGCCAGCAAGCGCCACGCCCTCCAGTTCACGGGCGCCGCTGGATTCATCCCCCGCAAGGCGGGCGCGGCACTGTCCCAACTCGTGCTCGACCGCAGCAAGAGGAGGCGTTTTGCGACGGCGGACGCGTCTGGGCAGCAAGTCGAGCGCGCGCGTCGAAGGGCGAATCGCTGCACCAGGTCGAGGTCGAACTTTCGCTCGGGCAGATCCGAGGGGCGCCCGGCACCAAGCACCTCGCAGTTGGACGCGCCCACCAACAAGTCGCGCGACGAGCTCCCTCGCCAGTGGCAGCCGGTCCTTCGCGTCACTCCCGCGAAGAGCGCCGACCATCGCGCCGAGCGGCCCCCCCCCCCCAATTTCCAGAAGTTGGGCGCGGACAAGGACGGGACAAACAAAAACATCGAGCGGTCTCCCCGGCGCCTTCTTTCGGCCGGGGGGCGGCTCTCGCCCGCCTGCTTCGGGGCGGCCATGCGCCGCGCGGAACGCGAGAGCATTTTTCCACCGCGACGCGGCGGCAAGGGGCCGCTGTTTCCGCCGCCCCCCCGCGTTGCCCGCCGCAGTCTCGGCGGTTTATGCGCGGGAGACACGCGGTGACAGGCGCCTGGTCGACGGCTGCCTGCGTCGCTCGCGTCGCCCAGTCCTCGCCGCGCCGCCCTTAAGGCGTTCTGCCCCTGGAGATCCAGCCGGGGGCGCGGTCGCATTCAATCTTGGTTCCCGCCCCCCCCACCCCCCACGCTGACGCGCCCGCCCGCCCACCCCGGCCGCTTGATGCTCAGCTTCCAGGACGTCGCATCGCTCGCCCAGCGCATCATCCATAACTTCGGTTTAATGTTCGGGCCAGAGGCCGACTCTCAGGGCGCGCTGCAGACGATCTCCGGGAATCCGAGCAGGACCCACTTAGGAAGCCATCGGCCGTCAACGGAGGCTTCACGTCAGCGCCCGCCCATCCCCCCCACCTCGACCAGCACGCCTCCGAGCCACCCGCGAGGCGCCCCTGCCCGACGGCGCCCGCCGCGGGCCCCGGCACCCCCCCCGCCCTGCGGCCCGCGGCTTCAGGAGGGCTTCCGATTGAGCCTAGGATTCAACATTGAAAAAGCCCGTTGAATTTGAGAGCGACGGTTTCACGCGCCTTCGCGCGGGTGCCCGGGCGCTGGCGCGGACGTGTCCGAGCGTTCGTCTCCTGGCCAGGCCAGCGTCTTACCTTGCTGAGTTGCGTCGCGAGTGCGCACGGCTTGCCGGGGGTTCTCTCAGCACCAGCCTTCCTTGCCATTCCGCCATGACTAGTGCGATCTCTGCCCGCCGCCCCCCCACCGACGAATGGCCCGCGCGCCCTGGCCGCGCGGGGCCCCCGAGCATTCGAATTTCATCTGGGGCGCGATTGAGCAGAGCGACATTTCGCGTCTCCTGGCGCCGCATTTGCTCGACTTCCATCAGGTGGCGATGAAAGAGGCAGCTAGACATGCTCGCGATTCGATCGTCGTCAAGAAGCCGCCGGACTCGCGATCGCGCTGGATCGCGCGATGACCCTTCCCTGGGGCGGTTCGGAATCAGCATCGTGATCCCGCTGGGAAATGCATGATGGTTTACGCGCGTTTTCGAGAGCAAATAGCGCCGCCGGCTTCCACGACCACAGTTATGTTGCGGGGCCCCACTCGGTCCCTCAGCTGACGGACGACGTCAGCGCACGCTTGAACGCGGGCGCCCAGAAACGCGCCAAGCAGCATATTGGAGAGGACGCCCCTGCCCGCGCGACAGCCAAACTTGTCGGGAACTCTTCGGCCTCGAGAGACGCGGCAACCTCTGGGTCATTCGCGGGGGAAGATTGTGCTTCAGCGGCCGTGCTCTGCCTGCTGGCGCCGTCGCCACCGACCCCCGTCAAAATCGCCCCAGGGCCAGCCTCGCGTGGAGGGGGGGGGGGGGGGGGGGGCGTTTTTTTTTTTCCGGGCCGAACGCTGCGCAGTTTTGTTCGTTGTCACAAAAACGCGTGCCAAGCAGCGTTTCTCCGCCCCCCCTCCACGCCGCGAGTCGCCGCGCGGCCTGCGGGGGGAGGGGGGGCGCGGGGCGGTCGGGCATGCGTTTGGAAGAGGGGGGCGCGCTCAGGCCCTCGTGTACTTCGCGTTCTGGGTCTTGGTTCCCTCCATGACTTTCCCCCCGCGGCGGGGGGGGGGGGGGCAAGCGCGCCCCCGCGCGCGACGCGCGGCGCAGTGGCGCGCAACGGCCAATCGCGAGGCCTGCGCGCTCCGCGCGCGCGTCGGCTTGCCGCGGCAGCGCGCGGCTTAAAGTGCCGAGCGCGGCCAGGAGCGCCAAGCGCGGCCAAGAGTGCCAAACGCGGCTTCATGTGCCAAACACGGCCAAGAGTGCCAAACGCGGCCTAGAGTGCCTCACGCGGCCAAGAGCGCCGAACGCGGCCAAGAGTGCCAAGCGCGGCCTAAAGTGCCAAACGCGGCCAAGAGTGCCAAACGCGGCGAAGAGTGCCAAACGCGGCCACGAGTGCCAAACGCGAACAAGGGTGCCTAACGCGGCCTAGAGTGCCTAACGCGGCCAAGAGTGCCCAGCGCGGCGAAGAGTGCCAAACGCGGCCACGAGTGCCTTACGCGGCCAAGAGTGCCCAACGCAGCCAGGGGCGCCAAAACGCGGCCAAGGGTGCCTAAATTGGCCAAGTGCGCCAAACGCGCGACCGTGTGAGGTGACCGCGTGTACTTCGACATACTTAGACCGTTCGGTGTCTTCGTGATCCTGCCCAGACGATCGTATCGACACGACCAAATTAGGCGATCGCGGCTACGACGCCTCTCAATGCGAATGCGTCATCGAACTCAAGCGCACGGCAACGCGCGGTGCGGTTCCGCGCAAGCGCAGGCAGTTCTGTGGACAGAAGTCGCGGCGGGCGCGCGCCGCTGCGGCAAGCGCGGCACGCGGCACTCGGCAAGATGGCCGTTGAGACGCCCAACTTGGGCATGTCTCTGCTTGAATTTATGGCATCTCATGGCGATGCCAAACGCGGTGGAGAGTGGAATGCGAATTGCGCGCTTGCCAGGCGACGCGCCCGCCCGCGAGTGCGGCGATGGCGCGCCTGCTCGTTTGCAGAGGAGAACGAGCTGACGTCCGCGCGCGATTTGGCTTTCGCAGCCGCGGAGTCGCTGACGGGCGATCTGACTACAGGCAAGCGGTCCTTCCTCGCCAGGGTAATGTCCGACGCGAAGACCTTGCTCGAGGAGGA